TATTTATTCTCCTTTTACAAATGAGGAAACTAGGGCAGATTAAAGTGATTGGTCCGAGCCTCTCACAGGTGGGCTTCCAATTCAGATCTCTTGGACTCTAAAATTCACTGTTTTCCAACATTTTGTCTTTAATTTTGTTTTTTATTTCTTAGCTTTTCATTTAGAAATAATTTGACTTACTAAACATTTCAAACACAACATTGCAGTAACAAAGAATTCCCAAATACCTTTTTTCCAGCTTCCCCAAATCACAGTATACTTTTTAAAACCAGGAAATAAACAGTGATACCATGCTATTAACTAACCTATAGATCCTATTCAGGTATTGCCAGTTGTCCCCTAATGTCCTTTTTCCAGTCTAGGATCCAGTTCAGGATCCCACATTGCATTTAGTTGCCAGTCTCCTGCAGTGTAGGACAGTTCCTCAGTCTTTCCTTTCCTTTCCAGACCATGGTGATTTTGAAGAGTGCTGGGCAGTTATTTGTAGTATATCTTTAGCTGCACTGGTTTTATGCATACATGTCATGTTGAGATAAGAGGATTTTCCTTTGTGTTACAATGATAAACTGTCTTTTCAAAAAACTTCACTATGTTGTTGCTGATTATTGCGTGATTTTTGAAAGAAAGAGGCTGATGTGCTGTTGGTTGGCCTTTGTTTGGAATCATAGCTTGTCCTGGGCAGAAGGACCTTGGACGATCACCTGGTGGTTCATCACCCTGGCCTCACAGATGGCAGCGTCGTAGGCTGCATGTCTTGGCTTGTTGCTCTTTGTTCTTTCTATTTCATCATCTTACTGGCCTTTAAGACCAATGAACAGCCATTCAAAATACCTTTTAACTTAAGTATATTTTGTCCTTGATCATTGAAATTTTGATTAATTTATAACTCATTTGATCTTGATATAAAATCAACTTTGCTTTTCTTCTGCAACAGACTCTGGTTTGGAGCTCATAAAAGGAATTTGGCATAGTTCATGGTGATTTCTTTCTGCTGCCAAACACCAAATCTCTTTTCAGCAGCCCCGTCTCTTTGCATGTACATGTTTGGCAGCAGCCTAGATAACAGATTTCCTTAATGCTTATAAAATGGATATGTTAATATACCAGACTTACTGTAGGTCTTCTTTGCCTTCATTGCAGGACTCTTCAGATAGATCTGTCACTTATCTGCTTCCTTGTACTCTCTTGGGTAACTGACAATGACTCCTTTGGATGTCATTGACTCTTTCTAAGAAAGGGAGGAAATGTTATTTAAAAAACAGGTATTGTCTTCTGAGCTTTTTGGAAAATTGATGTTTTAATAACTCTTTTAAGAGTAGGCTTTCTGAAAGCTTATGGGTTTTTTTCCCCTCAGCAAATATGAATGCTAAATGTTGTATCTTCATGAAGCTTCTCCCACAAACATATTGAATATTATTTCTGTAATTAGAGGGACTCAGTTTCTTGGCCTCTCACTTTTTATATGTATGTGTTTGTTTTAATGCATATTCTCCCTCCCCAATATTATGCAGTTCTTGGCTTATCTTTTAATATGTAAAAAATAAATGAAAGCAGGAAGATACAACAGCTTTAGGAGAGTCTAAATCTTATCCTTGTTAGAATGTTACATACATGTGATTATACAGTGGTATTTGCAATAGTTTCATGTTTTGGGAAAGGAAAAGGAGTTAGTTTACACATTCTGTGAAGAAAGTAAAAATTATAAGAAAATGCAAAATCAAGTCAAATATACCTTTAAAAATCCCTTAAATCATTCATAAAGTAGTATAGCATACATGGTATATGTATGCAGCCTGTGGGATCATTCTTATGCACACTGCAGTTGGTGATCACCTGAGTATTGAGAAGGATAAAGGCTTTTGGCAGATATGTGGGTTGTCAGATCACATTGCTTTCATGAGAGTCTCTAGTATGAAATGGGGATTGAAGAATCCAGGTGTGACCTGCTCATCTACAGGCTTTACACTATTATATTATAGGAAAAATACTCTGTATATTAATACTTGATAGGATTCCATGCTTTGAGAAGGATTGAATGAGATCATGTGCATGACAGCTTCTCTAGGATAGCACCCTGCATGAACACAGTAGCTGCTCTGAAAATCTTTGATGGGTGTGATCCTGATTTAGCTTGATCAGTTCTGCAGTTATACTGGATTGTGTTTGAAAAGATGTTCAGAAAAACCTGGCCACCTGCCTCCTGTCTTCCCAGGTTAGTGTTTCTGGTGTTGACCTTTTCTGAGAAGCCTTCCCTCTTTCAACCCTTTCTCATTGGAGTTTGGGTAAATTTTCATGAATTAAAACATGAATATTCAAGTTACCACAAGATGGCATCAGATAATTTCAAGTAATGCCAGGTAGGGGGAGCCTCAGTTCAAGAAATCTTTAAAGAGGTTGAAATATGTACCTTTCATAATATAGTAGTTAGCTATTGCAAATAAACCCCTACTTTCTTCTACTATTCTTGTATGGAAACTTGAGGCTCGTAGCTGTTCAACTCCAAAAATTATTTAAGTGTGAAGTATTTGAGTTTATAATCTTTAAGAATTTCTCTGATAACTTAGTGAAGTAGTCAGAACTTGAAAAATGTTATCACCTCGTCTCCCTGGTGATTACATTTTCAACTCTTATGATTCAGTTTAGTCATCTCCCTACAACTTACATGAATTTATAATATTCAGTCAATATTCATTTATGGATATGTAATGAACAAGCTAGAACTGTAGTAAAGGAGATAAGCCCATTTTACTTTAGTGTACAAGTTACAATATACACATATATAGTCACAATTCAGAGGACCTGTGTGAGTCTCAAATATCTCCCTTGCTTTAGGGGGTACTGTGTAAGTGAAAGTCTACTTTGCTGAGGAGCAGAGTGTCTATACCTAACCCTCTGTCATGGGCATGTAACTTGGAAGGGCTGAACTTCAAAATCAATGTAGTTTCAAGCATCTTTTTTTTTTCTTTTTTTCTTTAAGATGGAGTCACACTCTGTCACCCAGGCTGCAGTGCAATGGCACAATCTTGGCTCATTGCAACCTCTGCCTCCCAGGTTCAAGCAATTCTACTGTCTCAGCCTCTTGAGTAGCTGGGACTACAGGTGTGCACCACCACACCTGGCTAATTTTTGTATTTTTAATAGAAACAGGGTTTCACCATGTTGGGCAGGCTGGTCTTGAACTCCTAACCTCAAGTAGTCTGCCTGCTTCAGCCTCCCAAAGTGCTGGGATTACAGGTGTGAGCCACTGTGTCCAGCTAAGCATTTTTTTCCCCTAGGGCTAAAAATGAATGAATGAAGATATAAATAAATAGATTTTTTAAAACCAAGTTTTTCATCAGTTATCAAGATTGCAGTTTCCAGGATGGAAATGTGAATGACAGAGTTTACCAACATGGAACATGACGAGAGATAGTGAGGTTGTCAAAAGCTGAGCCACTGCTCTCTTTGCAGATTGGTTTCTGACTGAAGGCAGGCTCATTTTCCAAATTGATCCCTAAGGTAATTGAGGTTTACATTCCAAATTTTTTTATTTATTCAGAAAATATTAACTTAGTACTTTCTATGTGCCAGACATATACAATATAGGAGTAACTGAAATGGACAGTATTCCTGCCCTCAGAGAGCCTGTGTTCTAATCTACTGTCTTTTTGGGTCATCGACATCTTTAAGAATGTGTTAAAATGATGAACCACTTTCCCTGAAAAATATGTTAATAAATCACACACACACACACACACACACGGCTGCTGTGGGTGGAGACCTAGGGTTCAGAAAACTTAAAGCTCAAGTTTGCCAAATGAGGGGCCTTTTTTCTTCCTTCCCTCAGCCTGCCAGCTGCTCTTGCCTTCCATTCAGCACTTTGTGATGTCATGGATGACTTCCCACTAATTTTCAGATTTGATCACATGATAAATAGGTAAACCTTGGGAAAAAATAATCCAAGGGGGCTTGGTGGGTTCAGGTCAGCAGCTACCTTGTCTTGTGGCTTTTAGGAGGTCGCTTCTGCTCGCAGTGTCTCTCTTTTCACATCTGAATAATGGAAAGGAATGTATTAGATTAACTATTAGGTGATTTGGTGGTAGGTTAGGTGGGCAGGCTTTGTACGCTGGCAGAAAGAATCTGGGGGTAAATTATTACCCCCAGATACACTATTCATTAGCTGGACAATTTGAGCAAATTACTTAATTTATCTAAGCCTTATTTTTCATATAGGAAGTGGAAAAAGAAGACATAGCTTATAGAGCTAATGTATATAAACTGAACTAAGTATAAAAAGTATGTAAATTGCCTAGGACAAAAGTAGTAGCTATTATCAACCTTGTCACAGCCAAATTGTCTTTCAGGGGAATTAAATCAACATGTTAAATATTTATTGAGCATTTACTATGTGCCTAGAATAGCATACTTCTAATGATTATCCTACTGTGTGATGCTAACCCAGCCTGCAGGCAATGATATTAGACCATAGTGAAGAGGTCCACTCTGTATTAAACAGGCCTGGTTTAATTTCCTGGCTCCACAAGGAGCCAACTGGGTGACCATAAGCAATCCAGTCTTCATTCAGTTTCCATATCTGAAAGATGGAGATGATGATAGCACATAAATCAGTTACAACAGAGAGAGAGGCTGCTGGATTTAGACAAGGTTGTGCCAGGAAAGCATTTAGTACAGTGCCTAGCACAAAGAACACTCTTATGTTAGGCTGGTTCAATATTAATAGTATTATGATTTATAGATTAGCTTAAGCTCATCTCCCCTGTCCATTCAGGTCTAGGTTGGATCTAAAGAAGGTTTTCCCCAGATTTCAAGTCAAGATGATGATAAGCATCTCACTTACCTAGGAGAAATATAAAATTAAGATCCATGATTCAAAACTGGGCTTTGTTTAGAAGTTTCTTGGAAAGCATTTACTACTCCTGCGAACAGTGGTGTTTACTACTAAATAATTAACTTTGGTAGAAGATTAATGGTAATTCTTTTTTATATGTTTTTTTTTTTAGTACCCAAACCCCATGGATAAAAATGTCATCTCTGTAAAAATCACGGAGGAAAAAAGAGGTAAGTTCTTTATACAGCTTTTTCAGTGATGATCATTAAATGATAGTGGTTTTTGTGAAGATGTGTGTATGTGTGTGTGTGGCCTCTTAGGTTTTTCAAAAAAATTGATCACCTGTGGTTCCTTGCGTTATTAGTTTTTAAACAGGTATATTTCTGTACTTGAGGTGACTTAGAAAGGTGTGGCAGGTAGAGCACCAGCATTTATGATAGTAAAAGTCCACCAGTGCTTTTTGTCACTTTCTAAACTAATAATTAATGACTGTACTGAGCTATATATAATTGTAACTGCTAACATTTTTGAGCACTTAATATGTGCCAGGTACTCTTTTATTAACTCATTTAACCTTCAGAACAATGTGTGGGATAGGTATTAGACTACTCATTTAATGAATATAGAAACTGAGATACAGAGAAGTTAAGTGACTTGCTCAAGGTCACATGGCTGTAGCCTATTATCATATCATCTTGTAGATGGCAAAATGCATATGATTAAATATGAGATGTCACCATAAAGTGATTGCTTATGGAATCATAACTACTTGGCAGTGTAGGTTAGCATTGACTAGAGCAGGAGTTGACAAGCTATGGCTCCTGCTGCCTGTTTCAGTAAATAAAGTTTTATTGGAGCATAGTCACATTTGTTTACATGTCATCTATGGCTGCTTCCTCACTACAACAGCAGAGTTGATCAGTTCCCACAGAGACTTTATTGCTCACAAAACTTAAATTATTTACCATCTGATTCTTTACAGAAAATATTTACTGATTCCTGGTCTAGAGTGTAGGAATCTTTTCTGTTCTGTGTTATCCCCATCTCCAGCAAAAAAACATTATCAATGTCACTGTTTAAACTTGAGAACTGGGCAATGCAGGAAACTGTGACAATGCACATAATCAATGTACAAAGCTTTGGAGACACTGAGGCCTAGGTACAGCATGCCTTCTTAGGAATCATGAGTTGCTACTGTTCATCGCGTGACTCTGAAGCCCTCTCTGTGCTTGGTAGACTTAACTGCCTTTTGCTTGCATATGCATTTTTTGTACTTCTATAACTATATAGGTATATTAAAAAATGATTTCTCATGTACCTGCACTGTGGGAGAAACTTGTTATTTGTCATCAGAGAAATCGGATTTCAGTACTATCTTGGTGACCTTTTTGGAGCCTTAGTTTCTTCATCTGTCAAATGGGAAAACGATCTTGTTTTTAGGTTATGAAGATCAAATGAGAGAACACTGTGCATATTCCAAATTGAAATGTTAATTTTAATTTCTACGATTGTCAGGGGCATCTTTGCTTTTGGGAGTGGCTAATCCATTTTGAGCATGTGGGTGAGATGGCCAAAGGGAGGGCCAATGGGCAGAGGAGCACCCTATCAGCAGCTTCTGGGCAGTCAGGGTTTTTGCATTGAGGGTTGGAACTGCTATAGCCAGAGCTTTGAGAAAACCTGTAGCAGCATGGCTAAGTCACAGTGATTCACAAAGCAGAAGACTGCACTTCAGAGTTTATTCTTTTCTCTGCCTTTGCCTTTCTTTTTCCTAAATCACATTGTGTTTTTTACATCACTGGTTTAATTCTGGAAACTTCACCCCAGAACAAAATGATTGCAGTCGTAGTGTTACAGTAGGTAGCTAGGTATGAGCAGGACAGAAGAGGGCTTACACACACACACACACACACACACACACACGCACTGTTGGGTGACCATCAGGCGATGGTCATGCAGTTGTTAACTGTCTCTGTAAAGTAATAATTGGTCACAGCTGGCACCAGGCAATGGCACATTCCTAATAGAAAACATCTGAAACTGATGAGTAGGACAGAAGAGGGCTTGCACACACACAGTGTTGGGTGACCATCAGGTTATGGTAAGGCACTTGTATGAGCAGGACAGAAGAGGGCTCACACACACACACACACACACACAAACACACACACACAAACACACACACAGTATTGGGTGACCATCAGGTGATGGTCAAGAGGTTTTTTAACTATCACTCTAAAGTAATAATTGGTCACAGCTGGCACCAGGCAAAGGCACGCTCCTAATAGAAAACACCTGAAACTGATGATCAGCAGCTTCCTGATAAGATCTCAGGAGTTGGGAGAAGTGATGTAAGACCCCGGATGTATGCCAAAGTATAAAAGCCCAAGTCAAAAGGTCAGACCACACACTTGCCTTTCAGGTTGCCCACTTGGCCCTCTTCTAAGTGTACTTTCCTTCCTTTCATTCCTATTCTAAAGTAACAGGAATAGCCTTTTCCTGTTTAGGTGAGTTTATTAAAAAGAACAGGAATAGCCATTTTCTATTCATTTTAATAAACTTTCAGTCCTGCTAAAAACTTGTCTTGGTCCCTCCTTCTGCCTTCTGTCCCTCAGTCGAATTCCATCTTCTGAGGAGGTCAGAATTGAGGTTGCTGCAGACCTGTATAGATTTGCTGCCGGTAACAATAGGAAGTCTACTTCCTTATGAGAGATGAATATGGCCAATATAATTAATTATAGGTTTAAATTTTGTAGACAGAAATCTGTGCTTGAAAGTTTGGTACAGAAAGTAGCAGCATTAGATTCTCTCCCTTTTTGCTGAAACATTCTCTTTGAATTGAGCAGGTCATTGTCATTGGAGCACTGACATGGATTGTCCAGAGCAGTGAATGGTTGTGATTCTTTCATCTTGACATGGGAGGGTGCATTCTGAGTTGCTGTTGAACCCTTATTCCTTCATCACAGATAGGGAGTATCTGATTTGGCCCAGAAAAGGGTCAGGGAAACTGAATTTTGAGTTAAACATTCTCTGTAGGAATTCTGCAAATAGAAAATTGAGATTGACTTTAAAAGATTTATTGACACTAAGAAAAGAATACAGTTTCTTAATTTTTTTTGTGTAAAAAATTTTCTTTTTTAGATAAATCAACAGGGATCATCTACAGAAAGAGGATTGCAATCTGTCAGAATGTGGTTCCAGAAATTTTAAGGAAGGTAAGTTCATTTTAAAATTTAATCCCAGTTGTAACATTAATTTTTTTCATTTTTTAAAATTATACTTTAAATTGTACATGTGCAGGTCGTGCAGGATTATTACATAGGTATACACATGCCATGGTGGTTTGTGAGTAATTTTTAATAGTCATGGAAAGGAATAGCATTTTCTGATGTAAAGGAGCATTAGAAACTTCCTACTTCTCTTACTTCATACCCTTCTGAGAAAGAAAGCTCTTTCTTATGCAACCCCAGTTTTAGCAGAAGTTACTGGAGATACTTTGTCTCTGTCTCACTGCTTATGAAGGACTCTTAATGGACATAGAGATGTTGTGCAGTTATTTTAAAGATACTTTGGGCATTTTACGTGAAGTGACTATCTAATCTGTTCATGGTGAGAAATGACTCTTAGGTGAGAATAATCAGAAATGGGAAGATTGTAAATATTTAGTCTCATCTTTAGTAAGGAAGATAAAAACTTCAGTTTCTAATTCACTATCAGAGATAATGGTTGTTTCCCAGAGTATAATGTTCTCCATGCCCTCTGTAAGTCTTTATGTGTGTAATATTGTTGATGAAATCTTTATGATAGCAAATTGTTTTCTCTCTTTGAAGTCCTTAAGCACTCTGGTGATTCTTTGTTGGAAAAAGGTGAGTGGAAATTTTTAATCACATTGCTTGAACCATAGAGGGATTTTCAGTGGGAGTCCTTTTAGAGCTGTGAGGAAGTCAGAGGAAAACATCTGGATATGCACTTTCAAACAGGTCTCAGAGGGTAGTTTCTACCCGAGAGAGATTCTGTGTATGACGTGATATTCCATTCTCAGGCTGCTAATAAAGACATACCCAAGACTGGGTAAGGTGATAAATAAAAAGAGGTTTAATGGACTCACAGTTCCACATGGCTGGGGAGGCCTCACAATCATGGTGGAAGGTAGAGGAGGAGTAAAGTCACCTCTTAGATGGCAGCAGGCAAGAGAGCATATGCAGGAAAACTGCCCTTTATAAAACCATCAGATCTCATGAGACTTATTCACTATCATGAGAATAGCACGGAGAAAGCCCACCCCCATGATTCAGTTACCTCCCACTGAGTCTCTCCCATGAGATGGGATTATGGGAGCTACACTTCAAGATGAGATTTGGGTGGAGACACAGCCAAATCATATCAGATGTGGAACCCAGCTTGGCTCCTGCTGATTAGCTTGCGAATTAAATTGCTGTGCGGTATGTGGAACAAATGGCAGCTTCCATCACTTCCTTATCATGGATTAAAAGACTGTCACATTTTTCAGTGTAATAAAGCTGATATGACAATGAAAATGAACTTTCTTTTATTTTCCAGATGGTAAAACTTGTTGCACTGTAGCAGCAAATTATTACTGGCTTTTTCCAGAGTGTGTACCCTGCCTTTGCAGTATATACTCACTCTGAATCTATTATTTAAAAAGGCATTCAACTTTGTCTTGTGTCTCAATTCTTAAATAATTTAAGGACACCTCTGACTTGTACAATTCTGCCTTTGTAGTTTTCCATGTCTTCACCTAGGAAACCATACATTTCTAGGTATCGGACAGAGTTTAAAATGAAGAAACTGTTTTACCTAATATTGTCCTGCATGTGAGCCTGTAAGTGGGCTCGATTAGAATCCATCAATTTAAGAAGGCCATAACCAGCCTTAGAGGAGACACAAAGGAGGCTGATAATTTGCTTAGTGTTTAGCAGTTAGGGAAATTAGGCCAGGGACTGTATAGCCTACATAAATCCTGGGCCATTTGCATGTCCTCACCAGCACTTAGTAAGGTCATAGTATATTTGATTATCAAAAACGTACAGCCACTGGTGAGCCATCATCCATATATCAGGATTACTTGTCCTTTTGGTTATCCAAGACTGAGAGTAACTCTGGATGCAGTTCTTTTGTAGCCTGCTCTTCCTAAATTGAGAAAGCCATTCTCTTTCTGTTGGACAGGTGAGCATTTTGAAAGTACCTAATATCCAATTAGAAGAGGAGTCATGGCTCAATCCTCGGGAAAGAAACATGGCTATACGGAGTCACTGCCTTACATGGACACAGTATGCATCCATGAAGGAAGAGTCTGTCTTCCGGGAAAGTATGGAAAACCCAAATTGGTAAGACTCATGTGTGTGTGTGTGTGTGTGTGTGTGTGTGTGTATGTGGGTGTGTGTTGGATGCAGGGATGGCACATGAGTACATACATTGAAAAGCTATGGTTCTATACTTATGACCTCTGTTTATAACTCATACAAATCCCACATTATTACTTTTTTAGTCACACAGTGATTAGTGAATTTTTTGCGGGGGAGGTCAGGAAATGACAGAGCTCAACTTGAGTCTGACCATCCCTCCCAATCCTGGTGTCTTTTTCACTCACTCGAGAAGCAGTGAGTGTTATCAATTTGCTCAATATTCTTCTAGACCTTTAACAGATACCTTTAGATACTTACATATATACTCGTAAAGCCTGTATAGTGTTGTTTTGTATATCTTTTTAAACATGTATTTTAAATTGTAAATTATTGTATTTGTAAATGGTGCACTTCTTTTTTTTTTACTTAACAGAACATTTCTAAGCTTAATTCATGTGATATATATATATTTATATATATAAATCATATATAAATCTATATATTTTTATATATATATAACTATTTAAACTTTTGCATATAATTAAATCCTGTGACTGTGTGGCATTTTATGTAGCTACTACTTTTTTGATAGACAGATGGTATCTAGGTTCTTTTTTTACAAACAGTACTACAATATTTGTGAAGCATATGTTCCTTGTATATGATCCTTTATATTATATATGAGTTGTTTCTCTACGGTAGATTTTTTTTTTTTGAGATACAGTGTTGTTCTGTCATGTAGGCTGGAGTGTGTTGGCATGATCACGGCTGAGTGCAGCCTCAACCTTTTGGGCTCAAGTGATCCTTCCACCTCAGCTTCTTCAGTAGCTGGGACTACAGGCATGTGTCACCACACCTGATTAATTTAAAAAAATTTGTTTTGTAGACACAAGGTCTCACTATGTTGCCCAGGCTGGTCTCAAACTCCTGGGCTAAATGATTCTCCTAGATCAGTCTCTCAAAGTGCTAGGATTCCAGGTGTGCTCTACTGTGCTTGACCTAAAGTAGAATTTTTAAATATCAGGTTTATTAAGATATTATTTGTGGGCTGAGCGTGGTGGCTCAAACCTGTAATCCCAGCACTTTGGGAGGCCAAGGCGGGTGGATCATGAGGTCAAGAGATCGAGACCATCCTGGTCAACATGGTGAAACCCCGTCTCTACTAAAAATACAAAAAATTAGCTGGGCATGGTGGCACGTGCCTGTAATCCCAGCTAATCAGGAGGCTGAGGTAGAAGAATTGCCTGAACCCAGGAGGCAGAGGTTGCAGTGAGCTGAGATCACGCCATTGCACTCCAGCCTGGGTGACAAGAGCGAAACTCCGTCTCAAAAAAAAAAAAAAAGATATTATTTGCATACAGTACAATTTACTTTTCTTAGTGTACAGTTCTTTGAGTTTTGACAAACATATAGTTGTGCCAGCACTGTCACAATTAAACTATAGAAAATTTTAGATAGATTTAAAACAGTTAATATTACAAGACCAATAAATGGAGAAAGAATATTTCTTACAATAAATGGTGCTGGGATAATTGGATATCCACATATCAAAGAATGAAATTAGATCCCTACCTCATGCAAAATACAAAATTAACTCAAAATAGATCAAATACCTAAATGAAAGAGTTGAAACTATAACACACTTTGAAAAAAACATAGATATAAATCTTTATGCTCTTGGGTTAGGTAATTTCTTAGATGTGATAGCAAAAGTCTAGGCAGCAAAATTAAAAACAGATAAAATTGACTTCATCAATTAGAAACTTTTTTGTTTCAAGGGACACTGTCAAGAGGGTGAAAAACAGGCTGGGCACAATGGCTCATGCCTGTAATTCTGACACTTTGGAAGGCCAAGGTAGACCAATCACTTGAGGCCAGGAATTCAAGACCAGACTGGTCAACATAGCAAAATCCCATCTCCACTAAAAATAAAACAGTTATTTAGATGTGGTGGCACATGCATATGTTCTCAGCTACATGGGTGGCTGAGGCACGACAATAGCTTGAACCCAGGAGGTAGAGGTTTCAGTGAGCTGAGATTGCACCACTGCATTCTAGCCTAGCAACAGAGCAAGACTCTATCAAAAAAAAAAAAAAAAAAAAAAAAAAAAAGACAATAACAAGTGTGGATATGTGGAGAAATTAGAACCTTTACATGTTTTTGATGGGAATATAAAATGGTGCATCTGCTTGGGAGAACAGTTTTTCATATCCTTAAAAAGTTAAACATAGAATTGCTGTTTGACCCAGCAGTTTCACTCCTAGGTACTTCAAGAGAAATGAGAAAATGTATGTCCATACAAAAACTTGTGTAAAACTTTCATAGCAGTGTTACAGTAGCCAGAATGTAGTAACAAGCCAATGTCCTTCAACTGATGAATATATAGCCAAATGTAATGTATCCACAAAATGGAATATTATTCAACCATAAAGAGAAATGGAGTGCTGATTCATGGTTCACCCTGGACAAATTTTGAAAATATGCTAAATGAAAGAAGCCAGTTACAAAAGGGCACATATTGTATGAGTCCATTTATTTGAAAAGTCCAGAATGTATAAATCCATAGTGACAGAATGTAGGTTATTGGTTGCCATGGGTTAGGGAGAGAGGACAGTGATGAGTGACTGCCAATGGGCATGGAGTTTCTTTTTTGGGGTGATGAAAATGTCCTGGAATTAGTGTTGATGGTTGCAGAACTCTGTGAATATAGTAAGCCTCACAATTTTATGGTAAGTGAATTACATCTCAATACAGAAAACTATATAGCTGATTCTTAGGACATGCATACTTTTATTAGTTTATATAGCATCTTAGTTTGGGCTGCTATAACAAGAATACCGTAGCCTGGGTGGCTTGCACAATAAACATTAATTTCTCACAGGCTTGGAGGCTGGGAAATCCATGATCTAGGCTGTATTCTTGGTTTGCAGATGCTGCTTCCTTATGTCCTCACGTAGTGGATAGAGTGAATTCTAGTCTTGATCTCTTTTTATGAGGACACCAATCCCATCATATAGGCCCTACCTCATGGAAACTAATTACCTCCCAAAGACTCACTCTCTTTGTAGACAACCATCCCATTGTAGGTTAAAGTTTCAACACATGAATTAGGGTGGCAGGAGAGGACACTGACATATAGTCATAGCATATAGAGTCTGTCACATTGCCTTCCAGTGTGTTAATATGCACCTTTTACACTGATCAGCAACACATGAGAGTGTTCACTGCCTTACAACATTGTCAGCACTTAGCATTCACATGCTTTTTAACTTTTGCCAATATAGTGGGCAAAAAATGATTAATTTTTTGGAGATATGTTTAAAAACAAGCAAAATATAAGCACTAAAAGTTAATAGTGATTATTGCTGTGAACTGTGGTTGCTATGAACAGGAAAATTTTCTGTGTTTTTTTGTTATTGTTCTGTATAGTTTGGATTTTTTTTTAATTATATACTTATCAGTTTAGTGGAAACAGTAAAGCCCTCAAGCCCAAGCAACTATAAATCAAAAATCTAACATCCATTCTTAAGCCCAAACACTTGTCCAAATCATTACTGCTCTCCGTAACTTTGGTCCTATAGTGATAATTCTAGGATACTGCAGCAGCCTGCTGAGTGGGTGTGAAAGCCATGTCTTATTAGCATCAGAGGTAGGCTTGCTCTGAAATATTCACTAGTTTTTATTTCTTAGTCTCTCTCAAGATAAGAGTTTCACAGGGCATAGATGTTTGGGATTAAGTGTAAAGGCTGTGGCCAGAGAATAGAGCTCCTTTCTTTGTATGTAGAAATAGAAAAAGTATGGAATTGGCTGATTTTGTGAAAAAAAAAAAAAGTCATCTACTTTGTTTTACTTTAATTTTTGCAGATATTTGAGCTACTAGCTAGTTGTAAAAGGTGAACTAAATCTTCATCTGTGATATGTAAAATGATAATTAGCTCTGAGAATCCAGGGAGGATATCCTTTAGGAGCAATTTTCCTTTTTGTGTTTTTCAAAAATTATTTTTAAAATGGTCATTCTGATTCTAGAAACAGTGTTGCATGTGTCTTGTAAAAAATTTTTTTTTCTTTTTTTTTTTTAATTGTTCTTTGGGTTCTGGGGTACATGTACAGATCATGCAGGATTATTGCATAGGTACATACATGGCAATGTGGTTTGCTGTCTCCATCCCCCCCATCACCTACATCTGGCATTTCTCCCTATGTTATCCTTTTCTGACCTCCCCACTCCCCTGATGTTCCTCCCTTGGCCCACCACCAGCGCCAACAGACCCCAGAATGTGATGCTCCCCTCCCTGTTCCATGTGTTCTCATTGTTCAACACCTGCCAATGAGAGAACATGTGGTGTTTGATTTTCTGTTCTTGTGTCAGTTTGCTGAGAATGATGGTTTCCAGATTCATCCATGTCCCTACAAAGGGCACAAACTCATCATTTTGTATGGCTGCATAGTATTCCATGGTGTATATGTGCCACATTTTCCATGTCCAGTCTATCATCGATGGGCATTTGGGTTGGTTCCAGGTCTTTGCTATTGTAAACAGTGCTGCTATGAACATATGTGTGGATGTGTCTTTATAATACAATGATTTATAACCCTTGGATATATACCCAGTAATGGGATTGCTGGGTCAAATGGAATTTCTATTTCTAAGTCCTTGAGGTGAAGAAGCACCACACTGTCTTCCACAATGGTTGAACAAGTTTATACTCCCACCAACAGTGTAAAAGTGTTCCTATTTCTTCACATCCTCTCCAGCATCTGTTGTCTCCAGATTTTTTAATGATAGCCATTCTAACTGGCATGAGGTGGTATCTCAATGTGGTTTTGATTAGCATTTCTCTAATAATCAGTCATGAGCATTTTTTCATATGTTTGTTGTCCTCATAGATGTCGTCTCTTGAAAAGTGTTTATATCCTTCGCCCACTTTTGGATGGGTTTGTTTTTTTCTTGTAAATGTGTTATAGTTCTTTGTAGATTCTG